TCTCGAGGCCACGAGGCCCGGAGAGCGGTATGGAAACAAGTGCTCACACGCTGTCAGTCAATATACGTACTCAGCTACTATCGATGGCTTCCTGAGACCGCATCGGACCTCCGAGCCCAGCGCTCCGTCCTGTGTGACAGCGAACTTTCCCTCCCCCACTCCGGCACCAATATGCATGTCGGCGCTCCCCCGCCTGCCCGCCAGTGACTTCGCTGTCACCGGTATGCGCTGATTGCTATTTGCATCAGTGTTGAGGCAGACCAGACCCCATAGAACCTAGGAATGCCCCTCTGATGCAAAGGCTTCGAATACTATACACCTCACGGACCATGGTTGGTCTGTGGGGACACGGTTTGGAAACAACGATTATGTTCCGACTTGTAGATATTCAGTTGCTCGGGTTCCTGGCTGTACAGTTACAATGCGCTGCGTGCTGTGTCGCTGCGGCTTCTCGATTACTTCTGATACTAAGGTGATCGAACAATCAACGTACTAATAGAGAAACCAATCAGACTTGGCTATATTCGGGACACGGCGCGAAGGAAGACTTACCAATAGCGCAGCACTCTTCACTTCAACACCACATTAATCATTGTGAAAAGGTTCGGCTGTGTGTCACCGGCAGTGACGTGAGCACGTTTTCAGAGCGGTGTCTCTGGTTGCGAGATTACGGCAGGGATAGTAGAGCGGATGCATACCTGTGTGGAACCCCTCCCTTCTCCGAGACCATTGCCACATTCCCAATCGTTGCACCCAATCCCTCGAGGGATAACACAGTAGTCTTGTATTCGAGGCAGCGGCTGGCACAGCTGTGTTGGGTCAGGTACTTGCAAACTCGCCGCACGCGTGGGAGAGAATCTACGAAGGGCTGAGTCGGGATAGAGTACTCGGCGCGCAGTCGTCGGAGGAGCGGATCAACTTGGGAGGGCAGTGCAAATTCAGACGACAGCGTCACGGTAATTGGAAGATCCGAGGGAGTGGAATCTAAGATCAACTAAAGGTCAACTATTGATCGATATGTCCCAGGCACCCAATAGTTGAGAGGTTTAGCCTGCGACGCTTCACCGATGACTTATCAGTAATCACTGCTCTGGAGACCGAGACCACTGACTCACCGTGAGACCGTTCTTCACTGCTAGAGTTTTGGGTGGCTGTTTTGAGGGATTTCGAGGGAGGAGCAGCACACACAGAGTTATGAATTGGAATTTCTCAGCACTAGTACCGTTGATTCCAACTGCTCCAACTTGAAGTGGGATAGATGCTGCCCTCTAGTGCTTGGAGGTGACCATAGCGATTCAGAAGGAGGCGTGAGAACCGACGGGGTACTTAATCATGAGCGCCCCATCCCTAAACACAAGTTCCATGTAGTGCGGTGAGCGACATATTTCCCAAACACCATTCAACTCCTAACTCGTCTAAGGAATGTTGCAGCCTTCAAGCAGTCTCACAACTCGATGCTTGCCTCAGGCTGTACGTCAATCTACTTTGCCAAAGGCACGACGAAGTCTCATCATCCCCCATACCTTGGACCGTGGGTCTTGGTCGCGCGAGATGCTCAGGTGAGTTCAACTCTTGGTGTCGCGCATAGTCTCTCATGAAACGCGTCTATCTTGAGCTTCCCATGGCATAGTCAACGTGGCTACTGGGCGCATCTTTCTTCTATCAGTTTGTCATCGCCTCGAGGCGTACGAGTAGTATGCTTGCACCCACTCTCGTCTTGTTTCACCGTACCTGCGACCAGCATTTTCCCCCCAGAGCGAGCCCCGAGCACTCTTTGCTAATTGCTCTTTACCTCTACTGCTGCAAAATGAGTCGCACAGCAACGAGCATATCTCCCTCTTCACGTTGGCGGTGTCTACTCCAGAAAATCTGGGATAGATTACGGTGTGAGTGGATCCCTTGCAGCACCTGTCGTCGTTGTTGCTCACGATATTCGGTTGAAGTACGGACTGTTATGACCAAAACCTCATTGCAGTCTCCCGTCCGTCGGACATCGCGCTCTTCTCTCCGCCGTACTACAGAGCACAGTATCCTCAGCTCAGTGCTCATAATCGGGTCACCAACGCACTCGCTCGACGACATCACTGCGCCGGCATCGTTCTACTCACGCGACACCGCCCAAACACCGCCTCCTCCCTACACCCCCGTTCCTCTCCGACATGCGCGTCACGCTTCAGATCCTCCGCAGCGCAGACCAAAGCGCACACATGCCAACGACTCACCCGACATGCCGCCGTCGTACTGTCACCACCAGCGCTCTCGCCACAGCGTGCCGATCAACCAGTGGCCCGTTGCGTGGAAGTACTGCAGAGGTACTAAACCGTCCCCCTTCACCACCGGTACGTGTACAATCACTGGTCGTTGTGCTTAGTCTTACGCGGGACTGAAGCTACACAGTACAAAGGCTCATCCCTGTTCCAAGGATCCGGGAGGTCAAGATGGTTCTCGTGAAAATAATGTGATCTCGTCGACGTTTTTTGTTGCACAATGAACCATGTCTAGCGTCTCGTTGACAATCTCGTATCTACTATGAGAATTTCGGTGACCATGTCCTGGGAGGATGCACCTGCGGCAGACCCGACCAATCAGCAGACGTCTGAACCATTTCACGCTGCTGGGATTCGGACAGCGATGGTTCTGTTCGACAGCTGGCTGACATGAAACCACAGTCACCAGTAGCCTCGTGCTTGGACCTTACACCTGCGGGGGCTGAATCGCGCTAGGTTGCGCCGGAGCAGTCTCAGTGAAGCCGATGTATCCGCGAGGCTGGCCATCGTCTCGCGGATACATCTGTAGCCAAGCGGATACATCCGTGTTCATCGCCCATAGGAGCGCAAAAACACGGGCGGGATTCGAACTCGAGAACTCTAGAACGCCCAATCGCCCCCACCCGTCCCTCATGCCCAGTGAAAACTCGGTCGTATCCGTTCGTTTACTGTCGTTTGCCCTCGTTTTTCCCTGTATTATTTGGAGCTAAACGAAAATAATACGAGAAGTGGTCGATTATACGAGATTCTCGTATTATGTTCGTATACCCGAGCGCCCGCCATAAACGAGAGTAAACCAGGGGAAACGGCGCCCTCGTAAACGTCCGTTTGTTTGTGCTTCATACCGTTTTGCCTCGATATTCCACCGCGGCTCCCAGAAACCGATTTCATACGAGTGAAAACAGATGAGATGGATATAATGTGTACTATAATACAGGAACAAACGACAGAATACATGCAGTGGTATCCAACAGTATACTAATCGACGGGGCGCGCGCACGCCACACCGCACTGCGCCGCCCCCGCGCCCCGCGCCCCGCGCGCACCCTAGTGCCCACACACTGGCAGGCGCGCTATGAAACATTCAGTCCGCGCGAAGAGACCGAGCACGCATTGTGACGCACCTGGGAGTTTCGCCTTCCTAGGCCCTCTGTCGCATGACAATTCAGTCCGAGTCCCGCGGTGATAGTCAGGTAAGGGACCATGGACTTACCTTTTGTTATTCATACCACAATCTACGCAAATCTTCTGTATGATAGCGTGAGGATGGGAAGTGGAGGCGGTCGTGAAGCTCAGATGAATGTTGAAGAGACGTACCGGTCATGTGAATATGCGCCTCAGCTTCCACTGGCACTGGTAGGGGGATAACGGGAACGGGCTGGGTCGCGGGGACCAGGGGAGATGGTGGTGGTCCAGGAAAGAGAAACGATGCCGCCATTGATAGAGGAGCGTGACGTAAATAGCCGGAGGGCAGAGGGCATGTGGAGCGTTGTTCGGGAGAGGACCAACAGCGAGCGCGAAGGGACTCACGACCAGACGGGCGTCTGATGGAGGGAGGCGGCGGGCGGCGGCGCAGACTCGGAGGCAGGAGCGGACGGAGGCAGACGCACTGGCGGTGTGAAGCGGACGGCGGACGGACGCGACAGGCACGACAGCGCGAGCGGGCGGACGCACTCATTGTCGCAAGGGCGCGGACGGCAGAGGCTCCGCACATGTCGAGCGACGTCGCACACAGAGCGAACCACGTCAAAAGTTTGAAGCGCCCAGGCGCATCTCGGTTCTCGTGAGCGCGGTAAACGGATCCATACCAGAACTAACGACTTATAACCGATAATAACGAAAACAAGCCAACTTATACGACCGAGTTTTTACTGGGCCTCATGGTGGGCCTCGTCGAAGTGCCAGGTGTGTGTGCCACCGTCTTCGTCATGGTCCTCAGCAGCCTCAGGATCGTCGTCGATCTCGGCCATCGCCTCGGGATCGAGGCCTTCGTCGGGCTGATGGAAGTCAGAACCATGTTCTTCATTGTAGAACGTGTCACTAGCGTAGGCCACGCGACGAGCCAATTCGCGAGGATGGATGTCGGCGTCGGGCGAAGGTCGGGTCCTCACCATGGTCGTCATGATCGAGAAGAGCAACTAGGTTGATGACCTAGTTAGCAACAAGCCGATTGCGGAGAGGATCATCAATCGTACCAGTGGGGTGGCTGCTCGAAGGCGTCGTGGCAAGCTGTGGGTATGTCTGAGTATCCATCCGTGTTCTAGGGTAAGAGACACGTACCCCTGCAACATGTGGAGGAGCGGGGAGCTGCGAGATTTGATAGTGTAAGATACGTGGCTGTGCACGAGGCGCTCGACTGGGCGGGGGCTGCATGGACTGAGGTGCAAGGGCAGATTGCTGCGAGGACGCGCGGGCGGGAGTACTGCCATAGGTCGCTCGGGGGATAGCAGAGTCGGGAAGGTTGCGCACGGGAGGACCGGCCCGGGGGTCTGGATGAGGCGTACTAGCAAGGGTAGAGGTCCCGCTCCGAGCGGTAGGAATCTGAAAGCTGTCAGCGTGGATTACGGCTCCAGGAGGCATCACAACCGTACTTGCTGGTTGTTCACCCGCGCAGGAGTTTGAAAGGTATTGCGGGCATCAGCAAGCCGTTGAGCCGTTGCTGGAGAGAGACGACGCCCCCGCGAAGGGCAACAGACAAAGTGCTATAAGACATTAATAGTGCATTCCAGTAAAGCGATGTTGGCGTAGTTGGTACCTAGTCTGCGTTTTGCTCGAAAGCGCCCGGTCGAGGGTTCGAATCCCGAACACTGCAGCGCATTTACGCGGATACATCTGTTCTCGAGCGGATACATCCGCGAGACGATCGGACCCGTCGCAGATGTATCCGGTATACTGAGAACCTACCTGTATCTGCTGAAGGCGTGTTGAGCGTGCCTTGAGCAATTTCCCCAGCTTTTGCCAGCCAATCAAGAACGACGCCAACGCTCGGCTGAACTGTCCCGTGGTTCCTACTACTCGTGGTGGTCGTCCGCGTGTTGTCCCGTTCGAGCAACAGCCCATGGCAACCCCTGGTCACGGTTCCGCGTAGAACACTCGAGCTCAGATCCGCCCGAGCTAGCGGTTGAATCATGCTGGTTCGTGCCGGACGAAATAGCCGACCTATCGGGCGATATATAGCGCATCCTGCGCGGAGGACCCACTCCCCACCTTGCACCTTCTGCAACGCACCGAGGCCGGATCCTCTTCACAGCCGTAGTCTGCTGGACGCATTCCGCTTGTTCTTCTTTGTATCTCCAAGTTTCAAGCTTCAAGTTCTTGCCGTTCCTTCTCAGACTTCTTGCTCTTCACCGTTCCACCCTCCTTCAGCAGATCGCTTGACTGCGTTTTCTTCTACCCACAGTCTGGAACTATGTTCTTCTCGAAGAGCTTCGCTGCCGCCGTCGCCCTCGGCCTGAGCCTCTCCCTCCAGGTCTCCGCCCACGCCGCCATCGCCCCCGCGCTCGGCGTCCAGGGCACCCCCGCCCAACGGAACGCGCTCCGGCCCTCGAACGCCCGCCCCTGCGGCAACGTCAACATTGCCCAGACCTTCGACACCTCCACCGCCGCTCCCGTCGCTGCGAACGGCCAGTTCCAAGCGACGATCACAAACTTCAACGGGTGAGTCTTTTTGGCGTACTTTGTCTCTACCTTGATCGCTCATTCATCATCTCTCGTACTACACAGAGGCGTCGACGGTTCGACCCAGGTCACCGCTCGGGTCGACGCAACCGGCACAGGCAACTCGTTCGTCAACGCGCAGGTCATCCAGAACGGCGAGAGGGTACGTCCTGCTCCCTCTTTCTCACTACCTGACTGAGTCGGACTGACCACACATCACCCATAACCCTCTACACCTGTGATCAGGCTCCCCGCGGAACCGGCTCGGTCCCGCTCACCGTCCAGCTCCCCGCGGGCACGACGTGCACCGGCGGCGCATCCGGGAGCAAGTGCCTCGTCGCCTTCGTCACCGCAGGCGGCTTCGGCAACTGCGTCGTCGTCGACCAAGCTGGCGGCGCCGCGGCCGCCCCCGCTGCTCCCGCCACCGGAGCTGGTGCTGGTGCTGGAAACGGCGCTGGCACTGGCAATGGTAACGGTAACGGTCGCGGTCGCGGCCGTGGCGGACGCAACCGGGGCAACAACGCGGTCCAGGGCGCCGCGGCTGCCGGAACGAATGCGAACGCGAACGCGAACGGCGCCGGTGCGGGCAATGCGAACGCCAACGCTGCGGGCTCTACGGCCTCGCCCGCAGCGGGCAGCAACACCCCACTCCTCGACCGCCTCCGCAACATCCTCCAGAGCCAGCGCAACCAGCGGGCGGCGGTGGGTGTTCTTTTCCGCCTTGTCTGTGGGCGTTCAAGTTGGCTGACTGGAATTTGTGACAGGGCACTCGCCGCGCGCGCATCGCGCGTCGTGCGGCTGAACGTCCCGCCGTCGAGGTCCTCGCCTAAGGGCCCGGTCTAGGTTCAGGTCCAGGTCAAGGTCTCGGCTCGGAGGAAAGTGGGAGGTGATGTGGTGGTGAGGCAGAGCGTTCACGTCCGCCCGTACCAGCAGAAAGACTACGGCTGTGTTTGAGTACGTGCGTTGCGGGATGTCGATCGGGTAGTACTGTTCGCGCGCGCGCGTGTGAATGTTACTCGTTTGGCATCCTCTCTTTTCTGTGAGATGTGTGCGTGAAGTGTCAATGATCGGTTGCAGCTCGGACATTAGGTGAGAATTCTCCAGGTACTTGCGTGGTTGTGTGCGCCCTTCATGGAACCTCGTGAGCGCCCCAGGAGGCAAGCACTGAAAAAACAGGTGACAGTACAGTGTCTGTGAGCAACTATAGAGGTAGTTACTCAACACATTCCTGTGGTATTCATACTGTTTTGTATAGCAGAGAAAGCGTGGACTACTTCAGAACCTCTCTGAGCATGGATGAGGATCATGCCAAATACTTGAAGAGCTTCGAGTTCGAGTGTGCATGCGCACCTAAAGACACGAACGACAGTTCTAGGCAGGGTTTGTTGAGGGGTAAAACCCACTCAAGTCAGACCCTTACCCTGATGCAGTCTCGCATGGCTCTTGCGCAACGAAAGTGAGCAGAGAGCCGCTTAGGCGCTCGTAACCACCGGCCGGCCTACAATCATGGACATTTCAGATCGGACTGCTACAGTGGACATGACTCTTACGTTAGCAGAGAACATGCATCAATCATGCTTGATCGATGACTCGTGGCGTTGTCTCTTCCCCCCATCCACCTCTACTCTCCATCGCACCTTCCCCTTCATTCAGTACATCATCTGAAGCAGGTCAGTACTACTCATTAGTGCTCAACACCATACGGTAATGCTCATATTGTCGTAAACGTAGCCAGTATGGAGCCCGGACAAGGCCCCAGGTTCTTCTTCGAGCTGGCTCATATCGACGAGAGCGTACCGAAGACGCAGGAGATGCAGAGGTACATCGGAAACAAGTGCGCCTGTTGCTACAATCTGCATGAGCTCCCGGAGATGGGTTCGTTCTCCCTGGAGTGCGCGGAGAGCGTCCGTCGTCACACAGAAGAGGAGCTCCTCGTGTTGGGGAACGCGGAAGCTTTGCTTGAACTCGGATTCCGGTACGTACCCACTGTGATGTGGAGAGCGGGCCGTGGCAAGAATCGCGGGCAGAAACAGCAGGTAGCCCTTGCATATGCCCACATCTGATCCTATGCCTTATCGCAGATACATGAGCGGGTGCGGCGTCCGCGAGAAGAGCATACACGCAGCCCTCTACATGCTTAAAGCCGCCGCTGGTTCGCCCTCCGCAACCGTCCGGCAGCGCGCCAGTGCTCATGCCGCCGCGGCGATCGTCAGCTGCGCAAAGCTCGACTATCCGACCGACGCCCGGGCGGACATCGTCAAGGCTCGGCAGCTTCTGCGCGAGTTTATGGGCGAGGATGCTGACGAGTCTGATTTCAACAAAGGGCGGTGGATGTGCGATATGCTGATGCATGCGACCATGGCCGTCAGGCTCGGGCTCGTCAGCCGGGTCATCATCACTATCGCGAACAAGGCAAGGAGTCGGTTGCCGGAGGGGGCGAAGAGGGAGCACGCGTTCCTGCTGGAGACGGCGGATCGGGCCGAGCGGGAGTTTGGCTCGAGGTTCCTCAAGCAGCTGACGAAGATCGAGAATAACGAGAGGGCGTATGTGTGCGCGGGGCCGGGCTGCAAGGTGGGAGGGTTACGCAAGAAGGCGCTGATGGCGTGCGGGGGAAGCTGTCCTGCGGACGTGAAGCCTCATTATTGCAGCAAGGAGTGTCAGAAAAGGGTGCGTACCTCCATTGGGAGAGTTGCGCCGTTGACACATATCACAGGATTGGCCGAGACACAAGATCGCCTGCAAGGCGAAGAAGAAACACGACGCCCAGCCGATTAACACCCAGGAGCAGGCAGTGGTCACTCGCACTGAGCAACAGGACAAGCCTGAGGAGCCTCTCGGTGGAGAATGGCTGCCAGCCTCAGATGCAGATGTCCGAGGTCCGGGGCATTTCATCGATGCTGAAGGCCCGTTCGGCGACAGGATGCGGTTCTTCTCGAGGTCCATGCAGCCGACGGAAATGCGGAAAGCGCGCCAGGAGCTCGAAAAGTTTCGTGATGCCGTGGAGTCCGAGTCAGGCGAGAGGCAGCTGTGACTCTGGATCGCTCTCTCTGTGAGGGGAATTCGAATATGTATGTAGAACTCACAAGCAAAGTTCAATAAGGATCTGTGAATAAATTAGAGCCCTTGAGACTGACATAACCCCACTCGACAGCCCATATCCGGTGAATATGATATGTGAGCCGCATCGACGGAGCGAGGAGAAGGGGGGTGAAGCGGCGGTGAGCGGCTACTGAGCCGACAGAGAGGACTGTTCTATGACACACAATTGCTTGTCGCGTTGTCATGCTCCTCCAGCACTATCAGCTTTCGCCAGAGAGCCAGTGAGTGCCACCAAGATGGATGAACGCACCTACATATAACACACAACCGTGACGCGCAATGGCAGCTAGGAGGCTGGCGATACGTCAGTCACCCCAGGTCCTGATCTCGCGTGTTCATTGTCGCATACCGCGGTCCCAGTCCGAGATCTTCAGCTCGAGTACTGGGTGAACAAGTACTGTAGAACTGAACGAAGTTGACAACGTCGAGGTATGTTCGGGCGTCAATGGTAGTTCCCACGGTTACAAGATGAGTCTTTGGGCTGCACAGTGCAATGGGCTGCAACTTGGACTCACGACCACTAGAATGTCACTCCACTGCCGAAACGCTTCCTCAATATCGAACGAACTAAGCCTTCTGGCTCGTTGAAGATCAGGGTCGAGGGATCGTGATGGCTACTCATGCAGGACGGGTCTCGTTGGGCGACGTGGAGGGAAGAAGAGTGATGACCTGGTGATGACTGGACAATAAGGTACGTTGTGAATATCCGGCGTGTATGCTACCGCATGCGTGAAGGTCACTAGTACCGGTCCTTTGTCAACACGACAACAAGCATCGATAGATGCACAAGGTCTACTTCGCCGTTTTCCTCGCGAGGCGACTCTAGTCGCCGGCGCAAAACTGTCCCCACTCTACCGTGAGATTGCCGTCGACCATTGTCTCCAACTTAGAGCTCCTAGGTCGTTGACAAGGAATGACCATGGTCGCCCATGACTGGAGCTAAAGCTGTCACGACTCAACCTATCCATCCGCGTTGAAACTATTCGTGGGTGGGTATCAAGTGCATGACCCCCGCGGGGACGAGTTATAGCGAGCGAGCCGTCAAACCCAAATACA